GCGAGCCACGACGTTAACGCTGAATCGCCAGCTCGATAATTAATATCCCGCCTTTGCTCTCGATTATAAATAGAGAGAGCGTAGATATCGTTGGCGAATACGTCTCGAACGCGTTCGTCTATCGCACAGAAAACGTGCCGCTCGTTACCGATTAATTGGTTATCTATGGAAATCGCTGAACGAAGTACAACGCGCGCTCGCCGATCGACTACGAAAATATCGGTTTCCCTATCGTGCTCCGTACGCGCCTTCTCGATTCGCGACGATGCAGATTCGAAGCGAACGATCGGCACGGCGATGACGCGACGCGCGTTAGCGAGAGCCTTCGCTTAGTCGGCACTTTCAATTAAGTATCGAGCTTTTCGCTGACGAGGCACGCCACCCCTTTCCACGCACCCCTTCTCTCTCGTTAACTCTTAACGACGCGACATTTATCCTTCCCGATACGATCCAACAGAATCTCCTTCTTCGACTTGTACTCTTTCGTACATTTTGTCGTTCTCGGATTCGAAGGACCGGACTAGCGCTCGAAAGAACGAAACTGATCGGGTTTCTTTGGTTAAGCGGGCAATCGCGGGCAATCGCGGGCAAGCGGAAAACGGATAGTTTCGAGTTTCGAAAATTATTCGATAAGGTTAGCGGATTTGTTGCCGGTCGAGATGCACGAACGAAAATAGAAACGACGAGAATCGCGTGTTTTCCTCGTCGTTGTCGTTACGCAATAGCTGTCAGTGGTCGAAGCGGTTACGAGAGGAAACGAGATTCGCGCGATAAAGTTTCGATCGCGACACGGTGGCTAAAATAATCGGCAAACGGGAGAGCGCGATCGAAAGGGTAGGCATTTAGGGTGGCGTTGTGGCGCCATGCGAACCGAGAACGTCTTCTTCCGCGTCTGGTTGACGGCGCGAAAGATTTTCATTGAGCGTCGTCGTCCGTGTCCACGTCGACGTCGTCAAAGGTCGTCTCGATATAAATAACTCTGGCGCCGTTGTTGGCTCGTTCTGGTTTTCCCGCTCCGTCGGTCAATTGTTTAGCCGTTAAACCTTCTTCTAACCCGTTTCAACGTTTCGCCGATTTTTCGACCGTCTCCGAAAGGGCAAAATCCGATCGAGAGCTAGGAATCTTTCAGATTTTTCAATACGAATCATTTGTTTTGTTTCAGAGAACTTTGAGGGCGCCGTAGGCGAGTCGTCGTC